TCGTCAGTTTTGTGTTGTTTTTGTTATGTTCACTTCTGGGTTTTTTACCTCTGTGTGGTATTCTCTATTCAATCATTGTCATTAACATGTTTAATTATACTATATTATAATATTATACTATATTAAAACTATAATAAACAAATTTTATAAACAAATTTTTTAAATATATTAACGTACCCAGAAGTTTCTAGTGCCTTATTTCCTTTGGATAATATCTCTATTATCTGAAAATATATTATTATTAAATATTCTAAAATGTTATAAATAAAATTATGATCATAATAATCGTATTTTAAAAAAAACAATCATTTAACGAAATATTTTTTACACACAAAAGTTTGACCACGGAGATGAGCACTATCTGATGTCTGTCGAGAAGTTGCAGCCGAGCAAAGTCAAGAGAACGAGAAGGGTCGAAACGCAAGGGGTAAATCATAATTTTTCATCTATTAATATTATTAAAACTATGATTTATTGTCATAATTTCATTAATATCATTATATATTGTATTGTCGATTATATCATTGTAATATCAGTCCTTTGTACATCTGTACATCTAGCATCTATCTATCCATATTCATTTACTCGTTGTACTTCATTTATAAACTTATACATTATAAGATTGGCTACTAATTTATCCACTTCATACCAATAACAAATATACAATACGTATGTGCATGCATTCACGTACATACACAACGCATGTTTCCATAACCTCAATTTTACAGAGTGAACAAAGTTACTTCGAAGAGTATTACGACTACATATTCCCAGACGAGGAAGGAGCAAAACCAAACCTCAAGATCCTGGCCATGGCAAAATCATGGAAAAAGCAGGAACAAGAAGAACAATAATGGCCACATCGATAAAAACTTTTTTTTATTTTATTGTTTGGCGCGAGCATACGTAATATCAACCTATTACTTTTTCATTATTATAAATATAGTATGTCAGTATGTCATAAATTTTTCATAAGACTGTTTCAGTATCATAATTCATTATTATTAGTATTGTTATTATTATTACTATTATTTATTTTTAATATAATGTAACACAGAAATAGAATCGCTAATTTTCAAAAGCAAAAACGAGTCAGGCGCAATTCGTGACTCATCCAACCAATCGTCTCGTACATCCTTCCAATAACGACCATTTCTCGATTTTATTAATCAAATTAAAATAAATTACCTAATCCAATTTAAATTATGATCTAACGACAAATGATACGGGTTTTTTTTTACATTTACATTGTTTAAACGTTTACATTTCTTACATATACAAAAATGCTTAAAGTAAAGATTCGCGCTTTCTCAAATCGACTATGAAACAGTTTTGTAACTCCCCGAGTGTCTCTGCACTTCATTTCTTTGCCGCAACTTAGTTTTCTAGATTTATTCTTACAGACAATACCATCCCCTTATTCTGCAAGAGCTGAGCTGGCTTGAATAAATTGGGCGCTCTATGTTCTCAAATCTGTAGTTAAGATGAATTTTTCATGTAATTCTATCTTGTAGTTTTTAGTAGTAGTAGTAGTATCTGTCCTGACTGACCCAAACGAACAGACACATTCTGGGACAGTATCTTTTTACTGTCTGTTAAGTTAGCTCGTCCGATTCAGTTAACGCTTCGTTATTCTTCACACCGGAAATAAAGCCGACAAAAGCGGAAACTTGGGCAATGATGAAATGGTTAAAAGTGATTAAAATAAATAAAATTAGCTTCATATCACGTCATACTATTACGCCATTCCATCATTTAGCATTTTATCATCGGCTAGTAGCGACGATTCAAGTTCGCAGGCAGATGTGTACAAAAAATAATCATCGAAACCATCATCATTATCATCCATACCGTTATCATCACCACCACCACCACCATAGATACAAATATCATTATCAACATCATTCTTATCAAAACTGCAAATGGCGTTCTGGACATTATTATCGATGTTGTTGATATCTATGGCGCCGATGACGTCATCACAGCTATCGTCATCAATAACATCCGGCCTCACTGGTTCTATGCTTCTATTGTCGTTTTTGTCGTTGTTCTTGTTGTTGTTGTTATTATTGTTGTTATTGTTTTCATTAATCTGTAAGCATTTGTCCACGTTGAACTCCACAGTAGGAGGTAAGGGAAATTCTGGTAAATAATAATAATAATAATTAATAATAATAATAAAAATAAATAATAATAAGAATAATAATAAAAATGACCTTGAGATTTGAACTGGCTACATTCAGGGTCGAAGCACTTCTGAAACCAGACATTTCTGATCATGTCAACAATTATTCTGAATGAATGAATTGAGTGAATGAATGTGTGAGTGAATGAACGTAGAAATGGATGAATGAATGAATGAAAGAATGAGTGAGTGAGTGAATGAATGAAAGATTGAATAATTGGATGAATGGTTTCAATGAATCGACAATCTGATGGATGTGGTGGTAAATGAATGAATGTACGGATGAGCCATTGATTGATTGATTGGAAAAATAAATGAATAAAACAAATGAATGGATGAACGAATGAATGAATAAATGAATGAATGAATGACTAAAAAACGAAAGATGGAACGATTTTGCTTCTTTACCTGATATTATTACTTTTATGAAATCTATTGGCGATTCTACAGAATCTGTTGTTGGCAACATCGTAAATGAGAAGCCAGCGTTCTTTGATTAGGAACTTTTTACGAATTCGACCTACGACTCCGCCAATGTGAATTAAACTTTCAACAAATTCATCAACGTTATTATTGTTGTTGTTAATGTCATTATTTGATGTGTTGTTGTCGTTGTTGTTGTTGATGTCATTGTTTGATGTGTTGTTGTTGTTGATGTCATTGTCTGATGCGCTGTTGTTGTTGTTGTTGTCAGACACCTTGCTACCTTGAACAGCGTTAAAAACTGGCAGTTGTACCAATGAATTTTTGTTAGGTTGTTGTTGTTCTAATAATGTTCCATTTGAAATCAGACATTGTCGTTGTTTTTGTTGTTGCAGTTGTTGAAGAAATGACGTCAGAAAATTATTGCCGTCACAATAAACTGCCTTGGTGTCCGGTGTGGCCCTTTGATAAAAAAAAGCGAATTTTTTAGCGAAAATAAAACAACAGAATGTTAATAACAAAATTAACGACGACAACAACAACAATAACAATAATAAAAATAATAACATCATCATCATCATCATAACAACAAAAATTGTAACAAAGTGAGGCAGTTAGTTGTACTAACGAAATGTTGCAGACTAGAGATTTCATGAAGATATCTCGATGGTGCTGCTCATTCTCCTTATCAACCGCCACATCATCATCATCATCATCCTCATCATTACCACCACCACAACCACCACCAACGACATCATTATCATCACGACCACCGACAGCAGTGACGTCATCATCGATGTCATCAACAGCTGGATGGAACGCTGCTGCTGTAGCCACTGACGTTGTTGATGACGATGATGTAGATAATGATGATGATGATAATGATGATGTTGTAGATGATGATGATGATGTTGTAGATGATGATAATGATGTTGTTGTAGATGATGATGATGATAATGATGTTTCTAATGATGATGATGATATGTAACGTTTGTGGTTGTTTCATTTCTTCTAGCAGAATGATCTGGGGTGGCTATGGATGGACAAGACAAAATACAACAAGTAAAAGACAGCATCATCATCATCATCATCAAAGTCAACAATATCATCATCATCATCAAACTCAACAATATCATCATCATCATCATCAAACTCAACAATATCATCATCATCATCATTATCATCATCATTATCAACAACAACATCATCAACAACGCCAGCGGCTACAACATCATCATTATCATCATTATCAACAACAACAACAACATCATCATTATCATCATCAACATCATCATTTTCAACAACAACATCATCATAAACAACAACATCATCATCATCATCATCATCAACAACAACATCATCATTATCATCATTATCAACAACAACATCATCATCATCAACATCATTATAAATAACACCAGCTAACATCCACCGTCCAATACTAGTGCATTTCTTTTCCCTCTTTTGTTCGATAGATACAATCTGAAGTTTCTATTTTTAGAATACACACCTGAATAAATAAATAATAATAATTATAAATAATAATAATAATAAATATTAATAATAATTACAATATTACATAACTTTCATTGACGAAACTATGTTGAACAATTTGCAATTTAAAAAGCAATTTGAGTATTTGTGTATGTATGTATGTATTGTATGTTTGTATGTATGTTTGTATGTATGTTTGTATGTATGTATGTATGTATGTATGTATGTATGTATGTATGTCTGTATGTATGTATGTATGTATTGTATGTATGTATGTATGTATTGTATGTATGTATGTATGTATTGTATGTATGTATGTATGTATGTATGTATGTATGTATGTCTGTATGTCTGTATGTATGTATGTATGTATGTATGTATTGTATGTATGTATGTATGTATGTATTGTATGTATGTATGTATTTTTGTATGTATGTATGTACGTATGTATGATAACTTACCTATATCACAAAAGACATCTTCATAATTCGACTTGTTCTTAATTAGGAGTTGTCCATTGAACAGATCATCATCATCATCAACATCATCATCATCGTCCTTTTTATCATCATCATCATCATTATATTCTTTGCATGCCGTAAGGATAGCATCATCATCAACCCAATGGTGAATATAATTATTATTATTATTACTAGGATTATTGTTATTATTATTCTTCACTTTGCACCTGTACTTATAATAATCCACAATGTGCTTGACAAACAATCCTACATAATAATAATAATAATTATTATTATTATTGTTTATTAATATTAATTATTTATCAACCACATTTAATATAATTACTTCTATTTTCTTACCTGTTTTAATTTAAGCGCACACATACACACGCACGCACACACACGCACACACATATATACATACTTTCACTAATATGCATATATGCATGTAAGTATGAACACAAATACACATACATACATTCATAGATGCAGTTGTATAAACACAATCAATTATTTTATAGGTAGGAGAACAAGATATGAAGGTATATGAGAAAAGAAAGGGGCACGAGCAACTAGACGAGCAGCAGAGTTAAAAGCATTACTGAAAGGATTGAGTGTAGAATCACCAAGACCATAGTAGAGCGAGTTACAATAATCAATCCTAGATAAGACTAACGAAGTAACTAGAAGGAGAAGAGTAGGATTGTCAAGAAAAGGCAAAAGTTTTTTATTCTACGTAGATGAAAGTTAGAGCTTCTAGCAACACTATTAATTTGAGAAGAAAGAGACATGCTAGAATCAAATATAAAGCCTAGACTACGAAACGGTCGTACGATAAGACACGGGCATTAAAAAATTATACTACAAACTACACTAATCCCTAACTGAGGGACCTGCGTGGTGGTTGTCGAGAAACACGTGATCCCCAGGCAAACGTACGACTACGTGTCTACTGAATTTTGATTGGCTGTGTGGGTTTTTAGGGTGGGAAAGTTATTCATTATTATTTTTATCATTATTGTAATTTTTGTATGGGAATATGTGTATGATAGTGTTCCTTATATGGGAATATGTGTATAAAGGTGTTCCTTGTTCCTTGTATGGAGATATGTGTATGAAGGTGTTCCTTGGTGTGTGTGTGTTTGTGTGTGGGTTTGTGCGTGTATGTGTGTGTTTACATACGTTTGCATGTGTGTAGTATAGACAAAATTATGTATATGTGTATATGTTTATGTATATGTGTGAGTATTTATATGTGTAATTTGTATGTATGTATGCGTGTGTGTAAATGTATGTATCTATATGTATGTATCTATGTTTGTATGTGCGTGTGTGTGTGTGTGTGTGTGTTTGCATACAAAATAATACAAACAAACCTTGAAGATTTCAATATTAGAATATCTTCCAATGAGAGATTCACCTCCAAGAACTTCTTCACACAATGCGTTATAAACTGCATTTGAAAGAAAAATAAACACATTCAAGTAAATCTAAACTTATTTATTTGCCGTACCAAAAATAATAAATAATATTTAAAGGCAGGAAAGGAAGAGAAAAATACTTTAATGAAGCATTGCATCATGTGGCAGCCATCTTTATCGCGGTTTAGCTGGTACTCGAATTCAATGTCGAAGTATAGATGGCAGGGTTTACCTTTTTTATAATAATAATAGGAACAGATCTTTTACTTTTCATCAAATGTGTAAAATCAATAATTAATTAGTTAATTAATAGAGAAATGGTCATAATTAAAATGAAATCATAATCATTATAGTTAGTCATCGTAATTAGTCATCATTATTATAATTATAATTACAATTATTATAATAATAATAATGATAATAATTAGCGTTATAATTAGAAAAATCGAAATTTGAAAGAATATAAGCCATCCATCCACCTTCCGGTATAATCTCATAGTGATGGCGTCTGCTGGTTCCTAGCTGCCTAAGTGAAATAAAATAAATAAAATATAAAATAAATCACATGTGTGTATGTATATATATATATATATATATATATATATATATATAGTTAGACAGTCAGTGGAGTAGTGTAATGGCTAAGGTGCCTGCCACTACTGCTGCGGTGACCGAGTTTAAATGCACAAGAGATCCAAGAATATCATGAGCAATGTGTGTCATTGTTGAACTTATAAGAATTAATAATGGTAATAATGATAATAATGAATAATGATAATGATAATAATGATAGTAAAACCATAAATAACATAACCAAAGATATAAAATAGGAAAAATATAATAATTTTTTTTTATACATATGATCTTTAGATCATAATTCAAATCATAATATACTGAATGTTACTTATAGGTGTGCCAAAATTCTTCGTAACTTGTTCCCAAAAAAAATCTCTGGCCAACATTTTCAATGAAAATGTCACTCTCGTACGAAAAGGCCTGGATATCCTTGAAAGAAAATGAATTTATGATTATTAAAATAATATACCAAATTTAATATAATGTTAACAAATGAATAATATTAACTATGTGAATCAATCAGCCAACCAACTAACCAACCAACAAGACAGCCAACCAACCAACCAAACAACCAATCAATTATTATTATTATTACAATTTTATTTTACATTATGTGCAGATTGGTACTGGAAGAGGTCCTTCTGACATCTGAATACATTCCATGAATGATATAGCACACTATCAGTAAATCTAAAATAAAATAAATAAATTAATTAATTAATCAATTAATAAAAATTATAAATAAATAACTATATAATTAATACAAATATTATATTATGAATTGCATCCCATAAATAAACAATCATAAATTAAAACGAAATAAATAAAAAAATGCCATAAAATGATGTCAGGTATCATTATGTTACACAATTGTACATTAATTAATTAATAATAAAATAAATATTTAAATAATTGATAAATAAGTTAATAAATACTTTGGTAAATATGGAACAACCAATTTATTTTTCTTCAGTTTAGCTTCTTTGATGGAGAAATTTTCTTTCTGATTTGAGAACCTTCCAAAATATTTAAATAAAAATTTCAATTAATTAACTAATCAAATTTATTTTTAATTAAATAATTTTTAATAAATATTAAATAAATATTAATCATTTAATTGTATTTAATAATTATATAAATTATAAATATAATTTAATGGAAATGTAGAAGAAACCATCAAACATGATTATTTGATTGACTTAATAGAAATTTTTACTTTTTGAGATTGGATCCATAAAAACTGTTACAGACAAAACCGGACTGATTAGTTATCATCTGGGATCTTGGAAAATTATTGAATTAGTGACCGTATTGAATTATGAGACAATTAAATTAGTGAAATTTTATTCTAGTTATATGGCGAAAAAATTGAATATTGTTATCTTAAATTACTTAAAAGTGAACAGTCTATTCACTTTTAAAATTGGCGCTTTATAAAATTGTAATTGAACTATAGATTCGTTTATTCCATGGTATACCTTGTGCCGCTCTTTCCAAAATGAAATCAAATAAAGAGCCAGGTTCAGATGAGATAGTTGTTGAAAAAATTAAATGTCTGGATGAATTTGGCATTAAAAAAGTGACAATTTTGAATGAAATTAATAACAGCGGTGAAATTCCTGAAGATCTATCCAAGTCAATATTTATTGCATTACCTGAAAAACCTAATGCGAATGTGAACTACATCAAACAGTCAGCTTAATGAGTCATTTTACAAAACTTCTCTTCAGAATTCTGATGAGAAGAGCACGAAGCAAAATCAGATCTGGAATTTCAAATGCCCAATGTGGTTTTGTCGATGATTGTGGCACAAGAAACGCTATCTTTACGTTACAGATGATCAGTGAATGATGAATTGAAATGAAACAAGAATTTTTGAGAAGAATTATAAAAATTAGTTGAACCTCTCTTGCTTCGAATGAGGATGTGTTAAAACTTTCCGGTTATGAAAAGGAGAAATTACTACAGATAATCCGACGGGGGCAGTTAAAGTTTTTTGGTCACATCATGCGGAAGGAAAGAATGGAAAATCTAACAACTACTGGACAGATTGCAGGGAAAAAAGATCGCGGTCAACAATGAACAACATTCATAAAGTCCCTGTGTCACTTTTTGAATATCACCACATTCCAACCACTACACCACTACAAAGTGTTGAAGATCGGGTTTTTGGAGGTTTTGTCCCCAATGTCCGGCACAGTTCGTCAAAAATAAATCATGTGTGTGTGTGTGCGTGCGTGCGTGCGTGGTGTGTGTGCGTGTGTGTAATTATATCAAATGAAGGACAAAGAAAAAAAAGACAAAAAAATTTTGCCATAATTTTATTTTACTTAACAAAAGTAGAAAAATAATTTTAACCATATAAAAATTATTAAAGTCCAAAGTGTTTAAAGTGTTTATTTGAAATATTTATCAAAAATATAATGACAAAACTATTAAAAAATCATTTCAAAAAGTATTCCTTAAAGAATATTAGAATACTGAATAAGTATTCTGGAAGTACATTTATCGCTAGGACGGGTTCTCGCTAGTTCATCCCTATTACAGGTAGATTTGGTACGAGTAATACCTCTGTTTCAAAAAGAAAATATTTGTAATAATTATCAATTAAATTAAATAATTAATCGATTAATCAATAAAACACCTTAATTAATTATGAAAATTGCTTTCTTCTTTTATTATCGTGCCATTATTTTTCGTTACAACTAAGCGTACTAACATTTTGCAGGTTGGCATTAGAGATATCGAACTTGGCGTAGAATCTATAAAGTTGGGGTTCCTTAAAAATGGATGGATGGATGAATTGTTGGATTGATGAAAAGATGGATGGAAGGATGGATGGATGAATGAATGGATGGATGGATCGATAGATTGATAGATAAGTAGAGTAGAGTTAAAAACACAAATAAGAAATAACAAACTTAACTCACCAGTTTGTGAACATAGACCCTATTCAAACTTATGGAATTCACGTCCTTCAAGTGCTTACTGATTGGCAATGTCCTCAAGATGACAGCCTTCAAAGCTTTCATCTCACTTGAAGTGACATTCGCAAGCAAACTCCAGGCGCTTGTTGAGTTGAAGCAGGAAGATTTCAACTCGAACGTGTTAGTCCATGCTTGCACGAACATCGCGAATTTGCAGGTCCGCAACTAGATTTGTGGCATATTTTAGCAGATAAATCGCTAAACTTATTTAGTTTTGTAAATGTAGAGATGTAGAGATATTATTTAGCTCTTGAAATTATAGAGAAATAGTTTGAATTACCACCACCACCACTACTACTACTGCTACAACTACTACTACTGCTACAACAACAACAACAACTACTACTACTACTACTGCTACTACTACTGCTATTATTCCGTTGTTGATATTGTAGTTGAAAAAAAATTTTTGTCATTAAGAGAGTAAGAAAAGTCTAAATAAAAGAGAGAGAGATAGAGAGAGAAATAGAGAGAAAGAGAGAGAAAGAGACCAACCTCCTCGATACCACAGACCAGAGGAACGGTTGAATTCAAATCCTGTTTGCCGCAACTATAAACGCCAAGAACCAGCGTCACATTATAATTTATTCCGGATACAACCTTCAGATTTAATTGTGCCATAATTAATGAGAATAATAATAATAACAACAAATATTATTTAGTAATAATAATAATGATAAGTATTTTTTTATTAATAAAATAATTATTGATAATACTTGATATTCGGCCTCTAAGATGTTGATCAACTTCACAGCAAGGTTTTTCGAAGCGCCATATAATTCAACAGCTCTTTTTGTACTATCTAGAACCTATTTGTGAGTGAAGAAAAACATTTTAATTCCTAATAATAATAATAATAATAATAATAATAATAATAATAATACTGCAGCTGCAACTGCTACTACTACTACAACTGCTGCTGCTACTACTACTGCTACTACTGCTACTACTACTACTACTACTATTATTTACAACAAAAAATAAAATATATAAATAACAAAGAATTATATAAACACCAAAGAACAAAAAGTATATAAACACCATAGAATCATTAGCACTTATGTTATTCCATCCGCCCAAAAGTCCTTGTCCGAATGCTGGCGGTGCCGAAATGACACACACAAATAATACGATGGTCACGTAACTGAAATGCATTCTGAATGAATGAATAGATGAATTGATATGTGAATGGATGGATGAATGATTAAATGAAGGAATGAATGGATGGATGGATGGATGGATGGATGAATGAATGAATGAATGAATGAACGAACGAACGAATGAATGAATGAACACACATACAACACACACACACACACAACACAACATACACACAAACAAACAAAAATACCCTAATATACACTCACACACACATACAAATTTTAAAATACACTTTATCATTTTTTAAATTTTACAAACCCAACGGAAACTTCAAACTTCCCAGATATTATTTATTCTTCACTAAATAGCAATTTGGTTTCAAGTCGATTGGTTCTGAGCTATATATAGAGAAAAAAAAACTATACTCAATAATAATAATAATTATTATTATTAATTATAAATTATTAATAATTACTCAAATGATTAACAAATTGTAAATTATTTGTGTGAGTGTGTGTGTCTGTGTGTGTGTATATGTGTGTATGTGTATGTGTCTGTGTTTGGTGTGCGTGTCGTGTTTTGAGGTCGTCACGTTTCAAACAAATGATTTATTTACTGACTGAATGCTTCTTGACTCAACTACTTCATGGTTTGATTGGACGCCTTTGTTAAATTAAATTTCGATACAATATTTAAGTACAATAAAATACATTACATTTCAACGCTACAATGTATAAATACAAATATGCGGTGCAATACAATGCAATACAATACAATAAAATGCAATACAATTCAGTATAATACAATACAATACAATTCAATACAAGTCAATCTAATACAATACAATTCAATATAATTGGCGAATATATAATATTAATAACAATAATAATAATAATTATAATTATTATTGGGGCGGCGTGATGGCCTAGTGGTTAAGGTCGCCTGGTGCTGTTTCGCAGTAACCGGGTTCGAATATGACAAAAAAATACCCGCCTATCGTCATTTAGCAGGTATTCATATACGACGTTTGTGCGCTTCGTTGAATCCTCTGAACTTTGGAAGAGTGTAATTGACCTTTAACCTTTTTTTAACCTTTAATACAATCCAATGCATTATGACATAGAGGGCGCCCATGAATTACCCTTCGATACCGATTCGAATACCCTTACCAGACCAGTACCGAATGATAAACGAAACTTACTATTTAACATCTTTGGTTGCTATTATTATTATTATTTAACATCTTTGGTTGCTATTGTATTATTATTATTATTATTATTAAGGCAATTTTTATTCATAAAGTCAACTTGTTTTTTCAGGAAACAATCATGCTAGCTGGCTCTACCATATGCGTATGTGATATTGTTATCCGATTTTTATTTCCGACACCTTAATTTTTCATAAAAATTTTATAAGCATGCTGACTGATTGTCGTAACATATTACTGTGACAAATATCCAATTACACACGCCACACACACACACACAACACACACACACACACACACACACACACACACACATACACACACACATATACACGCACACACACGCACACATATACACACTCACACTCACTTACACTCACTCACACACACACACAGCATGATTCAAATTCATTCAAGAACGATTTCTAAAATGACTCTAGTTGTTTTATGAGTTAGTATGAATTAAATCATAATACATGGATGTATGAATGTGTGTGTGCGCGTGTGTAACCGTTTATTATAGTTATTAATTATTATTTTTGATTTAAACAATAATTTAATTATAACTCATTCAATTTATGGTAATAAAACAAACTCATAAATAGCTGTAATAATAATAAAAATATTAATAATCAACCAATCAATCAATCAACCAACCATTCAATCAACCAACCAACCAACCAACCAATCAACCAATCAATCAACCAACCAATCAATCAAACAATCAATCAACAAATCAATCAACCAACCAATCAACCAAACATATAGAACGGTTTAAAAATGATTCAAAACATACGTTGACACACATATTATTAATGCTTGTCCGATATCCTTATTCAACAGCTCTTAACACATTGTATTCGTTTAAAACTTTCTCCGTCGTTCTCTCTCTCTCTCTCTCTCTCTCTCTCTTTCTTTCTCTCTCTCTCTCTCTCTCTCTCTCGGTGAAATTTAAATTTAGAAAAGGCAGATTTTATTTACATACAGGATTAACTTTTAGACTTGGTAGCACGACGTAAGCTCGAGAAGCTGAACATTTCAAAGTACATTAATTTTTTATTTTAAAATGTAGTAAACCATAAATTACATTACGTATTTTTAGTACGTCTTAATCACACACACACACACACACACTCACGTACACACACACACACTCACGTACACACACACACACTCTCTCACACACTCACACACACACACACACATGCAAATACACGAACAGGTTAAATTTAACAACCAAAAACAAAAATTTTCAAGTAAAATAATAATTTTATTATTGTTGAAAAACCATTTCAAGTTTAGTATAATATTATATTAATTGTAACAGTAATAATAATAATAATAATAATAATAATTATTATTATTATTATGTAAATAATAAAAACAATAAATGACTTTCTCATTTATTCATAATACATAATTAAATCAAGAAGCAAATTTCAAACGAGATGCTCAATGATAAAATACTGAATGGTAACATACTGCATGTAAGTATAATGCCTTATATTAAATATGCGCATAAATTATGTTAATTAGGGCGGGCAGGCCACTGACAAGGAAGACATGAATTCCCAGCATTTATATCTGGTGATTTGTTCGGTGCTCGTCCAGGGCTGTTCGAAGTAGACGAATTGACACAGTCCGGTTTAATTTTATTCGAATTAAATAAATTAATTAAATTAACTGAATAATTTACTAATTCGAGTAGACCAAATTGAATATTGTTACTAATCAGCTTATTGATTAATTACCAAATTGATAGGATTTCTGAATTATTTGCAACAAAAGCTTCGGCCTACCTTTGTAACTTTGCAGTTTGCATTGGTGGCAGCCTGTGCATACGTACAATTCAGCAGGCCAACATCCAGTATTAAGTCGTAGTACATTCCAGAAACGATCTTTTAATTAGTTTAATTAAAAAAGTTGAGTGATTAAATTTTAATTAATCAACAAATCTATTAACTGACACTGATGCGAATGCCAAAAATTTGAAAAAAATCATTAACTATCTAGACAATTAAATAATAAATTATTTGATCGAATTAATTAATTCATTCATTATTATTAACCTGAGTTTTAACAAATAGAACATCACGAAGCCTTTTAGCTAAGCCAAAAGTGTTCGAATCGTCAAAAATCTCAAGAATTTTTTCCGCCACTTTTTTGACGGCTGCACTGCTAGGGTTTCCAACAATCCAACTCCCGACCGTATTTGCGATACCGTGGCTGACGGCAGAGCGAACCAGTAGGCCTACCAAAAGATAGATTGTGGATTTAATTCTTTTGGTCTTAACCTGCCATTCAATTCACATTGGTGTAAATTAAACGTAAATGAATTTCGGTCCGAGTGTTTTTTTTTTGAGTAATTTAACTGAATTAAGTTTCAAGTTCCTCAGAATTTAATATTTTATACTATAGCATATGGGACGTGAGAGTTTAACGGTATAACATACTTCTGCAAACAGAATACAACCACCTACTAATCCTAAAAATGACTTAATAAAACTAATTACTATCAATGGTAAATTTTACGAACAGTGAAAACACAGATAGAATTCAAACGAACAGAATATAACACATAACTATTCTTATTCCTTTCAAAAAATATGATACATGGTAATTTAACTATCAATTTACTTGATTAATTTAAATCCAATTTGTTAGAATCGATGGAAACTTGATTCGGAATTTCGAGTGGGTACAGAACTAAAAGAACAAATCTATCAGCTGTGCTCGAGTCATTTATAGGGAATTTTCAGGTCATGTGATCTTTCCATCATTTTCCATCTTCCTCTCTCTTTCTATTTTATCTCTCTCCCTCTCTCTTTCTCACACTCTCAAAATCGTGATCATCAATGAAATCTTCGAATCATTGATCCAGTATTTCATTTTTAATTAAATTGCAATAAATTTATTATTACTTTTATACGATACATTCCGATACTACACGGGATATGATAACATAAGGCAAACGAAACGAAGCAACCCACCATGATAGCAGTACACCGCAGCGATGAGTGTACTGCTGAGTGTACTGCTGCTTAATATGATGAGTTTTTTACATGTTACGTCAAAACTAAACCATTAATTACATAATTACACACACACACACACACGCACGCACGTACACACATACATACAGAAATACACTCTCACACACACATACAGAGTAAAATTAACTGCTATCTATCTAACAATATTTCAGTAAAATATAAATTTTTATTTTTTAAAAAACATTTCAAATATAGCAAAGCATTACATCAATAATAATAATACTCACAATAATAATAATAGAATAACATCAATAAAAATAATAAATGTCTTTTGGTCTATATACATAATACACAATTATTTCTATAATACAGGCAAACTAACACCATTTGGTTAAAATATATATATATATATATATATATATATATATATATATATATATATATATATATATATATATATATATATCAACTTAATACAATTAGTTATCATTAATATGAAATATTCATTTATTATTATTAATAATAGTCAATAAAACTATTGTCTGTAAGGATAATAACAAATAAATCAAAAAGCAAATTTCAAATGAAATACTTAATGATAAAATATCCGATGGTAAAAATACTTCATATAATTATAATGTCCTACATATGAATAATTACATATGTGCATAAATTATGTTAATCAAGGCAGGCTCCAAACAAGGCTACACAGCCACAAATTCACCGCATTCATGTGAGGTGATTTCTTCAGTGCCTGTCCATGACTGTTCGTAATAGACGAATTTACACTCCCCAACCTAATTATAGGAAAAATAAAATGATAGATTAATTAATTTAACTAAACTAAATAGACTTAATTAATTTGTTAACAAAACCTACCTTAGTAATTTTGCAGTTTGCATTGGTGACTGCCTGCGCTTCAGTGCAATCCAACAGGCCAACATCCATTTTTATTTTGTAGTTCATTCCAGAAACGACCTTTAAGTATCAACATAATAAAATAACTGAATGGTTAATTAATCATTTAAAAAATTAAATAACCAACAGTTATGTGAATAACAAAAGTTTGAAAAAATCTCTTAATAGCTATTTTAAAAATAAATTAGTTAAATGAATGAATGTTTTAATTAAATTATTAAATTAATAAATTGAACCTGAGTTTCAGCAGATTTAACAGAATGAAGTCTTTGAGCCAAGCCAGAGGTGTTCAAATCATCAAAAAGTAAAAGGATCTTTTCAGCCACCTTTTTGATGTGTTCACTCTCATGGTCAGCCCTACTCCATCCCCCGACCATACCCATGGTCCCGTAGCTGACGGCACAGCCAACCAGTACTAAAAGACAGATTGCAAATTTCATTTTTAGCCTTCTGTTGGGATCTTAATCTCTAATCTGTCATTTTATTATGTAATTGAAATTGTAAATAAATTATGGTTCGGGCATAAATAATTAATTAATTTCGTAATTGAATCAATTTTTTAAAAGTTCCTCAAAATTTATTATTTTATAAAATAAATAAGGGGTCTAAAACGTAATTCTGCGAACAAAATACAAGTAATTTTAAAGAAAACTAACTAACTAATTATTGTGTAAAACTGTGAAAAAGTAAATAAAAGTGTAAACAAAAACTAGTAAAAATGAAAAAACAAATAAATAGCAGAATTAATTTAATTAAACATATATTCGAAAAAAAATAACATCTAATTATTTAACAATTTATTCATTTAAATAATTTAATTCAAACCTTTAAAATTTGATAAAAACCTGGAGCGAAACCTCGGAAGAAAACCAAACTTAAAAAACAAAAGAATCAGCTGCCCATGAATCATATTTAAATGGAATTTTCCGGTCATGTGACCCACTCACTCTCCCTTTTCATCTTTTTCTCCTTCTCTCTTAATTTTTTTTTCTCTTATTCTATCTTTATTTTTTTCCCTCCTCTCGCTCTCTATATATATTTATATTATTATATGTCCTATATTAATTGTTATATATATATATACATATAACATATATATATATATATATATATATATATATATATATATATATATATATATATATATATATATATATATATATATACTGTCTATAAATTTTCACTCTCTTTTTCTTTTTATCTTATTTTCCCAATCTATCCCACTCACTGTCTTTGTCTTCCCCTTTCTTTCACTTATTTTGTTGTTTATAATAATACTATGTAATGTTATGTTATACATATATATTTACATATACTAAGTTATATGTTACTCTCTCTCTTTCTCTTTCTCTCCCTTTCTATCCCTCGATACATGTGGCACTATGATATACTGATTGGAAAAATGTGTCAGGTCTCCATTTAAATATTATTTAAATTATAGTTAAAATGTTGCAAAATAAATGCTTATTTTTATGGGAAGGCAACGTACTGTGTTTTATCAAAAAGGTCCATAGTATAGTTCTGTCGCTAATTTTACATGTTTAAAGTCAACGAACGTTTGCTTTTTATTGTTATTATTTGTTAAACACATACATATACACATAAAAAACACACACACCATACTACTATTATTGTTATAATGTTTAGTATCTATTTTAATTATTATGCAGCTCGGTAAATGCCCTGTAAAGTAGTCCACCAATCGTGTTGCTCTTTTTGGATTTTTTTTTTCTATTTAATTGTATTAGGCCAAAATTGTGCGGTTTCCAAGATTGAACAGCATATTCCAACTGAGACCTCACAAGTGACTTGAACAACGAACCACCACCTCTGCTGATAGGTTCCTAAAATTTCTTAAGATAATACCCAACATAGAGTTCCCTTTGTGAACAATTTTTAAAATATGAGTTGAATTTTAGTTCATCATCAGTAACAGCTTCTAAATTTCGTCATCTACCGGCAAACCAAATGGTGATCCATTGCGATCAACGATAGCGGATCTTTGCGACCTATTCTTAACATTTGACATTCTTCAGCATTATTATTTAATTTCCGTTTATTGAACCAATCAATCGTTTTTTTAATATCGTAAGCAAATGGAGGAACATTTAAACTTTATTCTCGTTTTTTTCAGATTTCAATAAATCATCAATTGAGAGGTTTGCACAAAATTTCATCCTCGATAATTCGTTTCACAATTTTTCTAGAACTGAACCTTGGAGTCGTCCTGGAGTTTGATCTCTTTTCAAATTTAGTCGCGTACAATTTTGATTCTGCTCTAAAATGTATCAAATCTTTAGAATTATCTTCATGCAACATCGGCTTGTACAAAGCTGGGTAGCACAAATCGATGTGGTTATGGAAAAATTCTTTGTAACCATTCTCAAGAAGATATATCTCCGGGTAGAATAGATGAGGATAGTTATTTTCGTTTATTTCTCTGTCTTTGTTTCTCAAAAACCTGCACATCTTTGGCCCTCTTTCAGATGAAAATTCGCAGTGAAATACAAGGATATTTTTGTTCTGATTACCGGTGCACAAACCAGCATTGCTCAGAATAAATTCACTCAAGATGGAATCTTTCGTGTAGAAATTCCTGGCTCCCATGATGTGTCCGCCTTCATATTCGTACGGATATCTGCAGTCAATTATGGTGCAGCTATCAAGGACATTATCGTACTTTCCTAGTAAAACATCTGTAAGCTGAAACGTTTGGGAATGTTATTTAAAGAAATTCATTTTTTAAATTTTTCTTAAAACGACATTACGATGAAAATAATTATATAAACAATTTTCAACCAAACAAATTTATAAAATATTTTACTGTATTGTGAGTGATGGCTTTGAGGTCGCTATGCTTTCCATCTTGAAGGACCGGCAGTATGTAGGGAGCGCTGAAATCGGCAATCAGGTTTGCACTCTCATCCTCTTCATCTAAATATTTTTTAATAGAATCCGCCTGCGAACGATATTTCTTAAACTTATTTACAGCCAAATTATTATCTTTTAATGATTCATTTCTTAAACCTATCTCGTCCAAACTTAATCTCTTAGACAGGGCTAAATTTTTTCTAGACTGTAGCTCGAATCCCAATCCAGGCTCAGTTATGAGCTTCTGCTGGTTTACTATATTTTGTTGCTCAACATCAATCATTTGCCTAGTCTTGAGAGTCTTGCATGAAAATTGCATCGGTGACACCGGCGGTGATGGTAAGGCATCTTCATATTTCACCATTCTTCTCTTAGAACCTGAGCATTCTGCATACAATGGAGATTGATTGGTCTCAAAGAGAAATTTTTCAACAGCTGGGCTGCCAAACTCATCAAATTCGCTTCCAAATAAAGCCTTCTTTGGAGTGTTTAGGCTTTCATTTTCATCGGAGTCGCTATTTGTCGCAAAAAATGAGAATCTTTTCCTTTTCAGACTCTGAGAACTGCGTCCGTTACTCAAATATAGATTCCTCGCAACTTTCCTACTACTATTCGATGAAACTTCATCGTCACTGTCAACCATAATGCTCATCTCCATATTGTCATCGTCATCAAATTCCAATTTTTTTGGAGAGAATTTGTGCCCCATCTTTAATAATTTTTAATATTTTTAAATTTTTTATTGCAATTAAAATATAATTTTAATTACGTTTTTATCGATAATGTTTATGTTTAGAATCAAATCTCATATATACCCCTGTTTAATTTATCGTAAATCTGGTTATTGTAATTTATGGAAATTATGATTATATTGTCATAATGCTTATTAATAATTCCTTTTATATTTCTTTAAAATAATTAATAAGTTCGGTGCCTATAAAATCGTTAAAATCGTTAAAATTAATATTCAAATGAAATCTCAGCTTTACAACAAAGCAAATCAAACAAAGAATCTAACTTAGTACGTCGATAATACAGTTCTAATAGTTCTAATCGTAATTCAAACTACGCTAGAATTATCATTTGTCTTTGTTTTAATTTCTTTGTTACGTCACTTATTATTACCACGTTGTAATCTTCCCGGCAATCTTTATTAAAATATTAAATTACTTTTAATAAATTAAACAAAATAATTACACAAGTAAGTTTTACGAACTCTCAAATTTTTTAACGTTAAAAGTCAATAAGGGATAAGTCACCTAGGGGGTGGCTAATGGTTAAATTGTCTCTACACTTTGGATTTCTCTCTCTCTTCTCTTTCTCTTTTTCTCACTTCTCTCTCCTCTCCTCTCTATATGAAAGT